CAAGAGGTGATTTGAAGTCACACTGAACAGGGAACATTAGAACAAGACATGAAAAAACAGGCTGCAAAAAAAAGAATATTAACATCCAGTAACAATGACTTCTTCAAAAAGTTAAAGAACCCATGCACTTTCTAGTTGAATGTTTTATTCTGGAAAATATCACAGACGTTACAAACTGAAACCACTATTTATAGGCTATATAGAAAGGAAAACTAAGACCTGGAGAAACTCAATAGATTGGGACTAATTCGGTTCAAGAAAAGAAAACAAAGACTCCAAATTCAAAATAGAAGGTCCTACAGGTTCCACAGGCAGAAACTTCTCCAAAATAGATGTATGCATATTTAGCTACAAGCTACAGGTTCCACGTTCAGAAACTCCTCCAAAATATATGCATGCATATTTAGCTACAAGCTTATATATAAGAAGTCTTACATGATGTCATCTCAATATTATCATCAGTTGTAGGTTCGTCAGTGCCCCTCTCTCCAAATAGCTCAATCCTCTTATTAGCATGAGTATTCGTATACCTGTGTTCCAGCTATAAACATTAAAAACCCACAATTCAAACATTTCAATACTCAAATRCTTCAATCTCTGAACATGTTAGATCATGTGAACCAAGTCTAATCACCCAGAAAGAGTGCAACTATAATGGATGTAAAAGTTAGTATTCTCAAGGGCAGTTTTGTTTAAGATTTTCTAAAGCGTCAAGGGCATTATATGTTAGAGAGAAATAAAAGTGTTTGTTCTTGCACGAAAGTGTTAGACATTTACTGTACTAAAAGTGGAAAAGCCAAAAGCACAATAATCCCAAGCTTAGGGTATATAAGCATCCCAATTCATACATACCAATGAAAGTTTGTATGTTATTCATAAAAAATAGGGAAAGATGGAGATCATTTTGGACTATTTTCCAAACTCTAATGTTGTAAAATAAATGAAACTTTTCACACAAAGCCAACCTAAGCATACCTCAACTAGTTAAAACATCTATCTTCGATCAAAAGGTCGTGAATTCGAATTCTCTCCCCCACACGTTGTATTAAAAATAAACAATAATGAAAAGAGACAAAAGTTCAAAGAAACAACTCCCTAAAAGAGGGAGGAGACCAAACAAAAAGTAAAAGAACTAAATATAAGAGATAAAAGCATTAATCATCATGATCATGATAATCCACGAATAGCTTTGATAAAGAACACCAATGAGAAGCTTTCAAGGAGGTGACTCAATTGATCGATCCAACTACGATGCTTGCTCTCAAATATTCTTTGATTCCATTCCATCCAAGGCTCCAAAATGATGGCCTTCACTCCACTAGACCATACTAAATGAGTCCTTGAAGATGAGGGCCAACCACAATATGGAGAATATTACACTTTGAGTTAAGGCCCTCTCTCTATCGGTAAAGAGAATTTGAACCTGGTGTAAATGCTTTAAACTGAATTTTGACAGCTAAGCAAACACAAATAAGCAAAGATGAGAGACGACTTGATATTGGTTTACCAATAATCATTACAAGAACACTCTCCACTAGAAAAATGATGGAAACGGTTTCTATCTCTTACAATGATTTTCCGTTCAAAAACCTTGGAGACGAGCTTTAAAGCTTGGTGGCAGTCCTTGCAGATCCGCAGATTCTTGGTAATTCGAAGTGTTTCCCCTGCTTTAGTTTTGAGCAAGCCAAAAGCAACTGCCAATTTCTCACTATGGTAGTAAATAGGGTTATCCTTGTCCACGTCAATTTCATTTTCAGGTACATATCCTACATATCTAATACATTCTAGCATCTCATTGACTTTGACGTATATTTTATCGGCTTCAGGGTGAGCCCTTCCTCCGGCAATAAATTCATATACAACACCTTCTAGTTCAATCATGGAAAACCCAGGAGCCTTCTTCACCTCTCTATCATTCATTAGTTTTCTTACTTCTGCAACGTCTTCCCATCTACCCGCCTTCGCATATAGATTACCAAGTAAAACATAGCGTCCACTATTGGTAGGTTCTAGTTCAATTACTCTCAACCCTATTTCCTCCCCCAAATCTACGTCCCCATGAATTTTACAAGCTCCAACAAGGGCACCCAACACTCCTGCATCAGGATTCATGGGCATCTCGCTTATGAGCTTCATTGCTTCCTCCAACATCCCAGCTCGCCCATACAGATCAACCATGCATCCAAAATGCTCAGTCCTAGGTTCAATGCCATAAAGTTCAATAAAATGACGGAAATAATGGCGTCCCTCTTCCACTAACCCTGAATGGGCACATGCACTGAGAACATTAAGGAAAGTTATATTGTCAGGGGTAACCATTTTCATCTCCATCTCTTTAAAAAGTTCAATGGCGGCCTCTCCCCTACCATGCATGGCCATCCCTCCAATCATGCAATTCCATGAAGAAATCCCCTTTTCAGGTAAATGAGTGAAAACTGAAAAAGCACAATCCAAGCAACCACATTTACAGTACATGTCAATAAGTGTCGTTGCAAGTTTTGAGTCCAACTCAATCCCACTTTTCTTGATATATCTGTGTATCCACTTTCCTTGCTCAAGTGCTCCCAATCCTGTGCAAGCTGACAACATGCTAGCCGCCACATACTTGTCCAAAACAATCTTCTCTGATCTCATCCTATTAAACAAASCAAATGCCTCATGAAATCGATTATTTTGGACAAAAGAAGAAATCATGGCATTCCAAGAAGCAGAGTTGTGCTCAGGCATTGACTCAAAAACTTGAAAAGCTTCATCAACAAGTCCGCATTGAGCGTACCCAGTAAGTAAAGTGGTCCAAGTCACAGCATCTGGTAGCTCAATACCATCGAAGACCCTTCTTGCATCCTCCAAGGATTGAAAATTAGCATACATGTGAATTAAATTGTTCTGAGAAAATATATCTGTTCTGAAGCCAAATTTAAGAACATGTGCATGAACTTGCTTCCCTTCCTCAATAGCATTATCAATGCAGCAAGCACGAATTAGAGAAGGGAATGTAAATTTATTGGGAAGGACAACCTTATGGAGCATTTGCAAATACAGAAGTATGCAAGCTCTAGAGGATTGCTGTTGTAAGTAACCTCTTATTAAGGTATTGTATATAAATGCATCTGGGTAGGGGATTGTCTTGAACAAGAGAAGTGCATAGTCAAGGTCTCCATTCTTTGATACAGCACAAAATTTGATGAGACGGCCCATGGCATCATTGTCAATAGAGAGACCAAGACGGATTATCTGGGAGTGAAATTGCTTGAGCTCAGACATGGATGAGCATGACTGGAGGCCGTGGATAGGTGATGTGTGAACTCTCGAGGAGTTGATAACGGATGCAGTGGGCTGAAGGGCAAGAAGTGGTGGCATTTTCCAAGTATGGAGACGTCCAAAGAACAGTTTGACAATTTCCCTTCAAATCTGCAGCACTTAAATTAGTTGCAGAACACCACGTTGTTCTTGGTTGAACTTTGTTGTCAGAATTACAATAAAGTCTGGGAAGCATGTCGATTCAACTCTAATTTTTCTCATTTTCTATGTCCAGCAAGCATCTAAATGAATTTACAGTTCCAAGTTAATGCTGATGTTGCCTACATACGACTCACAGTGCAAATTTTTTATAATGCACCAAGAGAAGCTCCCACATGTTCAAAGAACCATGTGCTGGTTTTTCCATACCTTTTACATTCCCTCATCTTTCCTGTGAGCTCTTCCAACTGCTTACTTTGTCTATTGGAATCTTTGATCTTATCCAGTTTGGAACCCATTTCTGATAGAAAGTAGAAATCAAGAGGATATCATAATGCTGATATATATGATAAAAACTATAATGCYGATATTGAATAAATGATATCAACTTCAAGTGATATTGCAGCATTACCACACAAATCCTCCAAAATTTATGAATAATTTCTCTGCTTAAGTGGGCATCTATACAGACTTAAGATTCTCATAGAGCTAGTGGCATCCAATTTAATTGACAATTTAAGAGAACCACAATTTTAGTTAGCTCCAAGGATTCATGGTAGTTTATCTAACTAAAATTCCATTTGATGACGACTTTATATAAAATTTTCTGTTTTCAAAAGTTGAGCTAATGAAAACTAGTTAAGCGGAGCCTATATTTTCTAGTTTAGTTTTTCACTTTTGAAAAATATTTTAGAAATCATAGCCAAATTTCAAAAATAGAACTAAGGGTTTTTTTAGTACAACAACATGTGGCATGGGGTTTGAACACACAACTTTTTAGTGATACCTKCCTTAACCAGTTGAATTAGGCTCAAGTTCGCAATATAACAAGRATTTTTTAAAACTACATTTTCTTATTAGATTCCAACAGAAAAAAATTAATAAATAAGCATTATCTTTAAAAACAAAAACATTGTCAGATGAACCCCAAAGATCTCCAAGTCCCAAAGGAGTTTCACTGATGTTAGGATCCTAGAATTCTAGATAACAAGCAGTCGTGTATGAAACTGCGACGAGGAATAAGATCGGGGAAGGGACACAAGTCTTAGTATCAGTGAACCAGAGTACTTTTTCAATGGTGAGTCAGAGCTTTGCTCCCTGTACCCAGGAGCACCCGTGCCCGACCCAAGGTCCGGACGGGGAGATATCAAGGATTCTTTTTTTCAAGCTCACCGAAGATCTAAAGTTGAGACCTCTAAGCCAGTATGATCAAGWGGCTTCAACCCGTTGCGAACTGGGGCCAGCGAACCAGACTACTAAAGCACCTAAACTTACAATTTTGATAATCGAATGGGACAACATCTACTGTGAACTGTGATTGGGAGTTTCACACAAAAGATTAGAAGCCATAGATAGAAAAAAGAAGTGATAATAACGAAAAGAATAAATACAAATGGAGGGAAAGGTGAATAAGACGTACGAAAGGGCCCGAAAATTGTCACGAATTTCACCATGGATCTGCTCTAACCGAGGACTCAACCGCAAGCCGCTGGTCATTYCGCCGGAAGTGTGAGTTGCGATGATGTGGACAGTTTAGTGCATCTTTAGTGTCAGGTTTAGCATGGAGGAAGGTTAAGGAGAGGGGGAGAAGAAACAATCTGAACCCTAGTCGGAGTCGGAGTCGGAGGTAGGTTGGTACAACGAAACGGATAGAATGGTGAAAAGTAAGGGGGAAGAGCGAAGCGAAGAACACCGAGGGCAATTCGAAATTGAAGGTGGATAGAAGAGGAGAATATCGGGGGAAGGGGAGCAGAGAGAGAGCGAGTGTGAGAATTCAGATAGGCTGGCAATTGATTATTTGGTTTTTTTCCCTTTTTCTTTTACATATATTATTTGGTATTAACTATTAAGTTATAGTAAGACTGCACATTAATTAATTATCGGATGAGAATTTTAGAGACGAGCTCAAAGCAGTCTCTCACTACAAAGCTGCTTCATTTGGCTTTCGTACTTGTACAAACCCTTCTTAAATAATAATACAAATATTTACTTTAGTTTCAGCATTTTCAAGAACATGAATACTACAATTATAAATTTAGTTAAACACGTGATCAATCGAACAAAATACAAACAAACATGAACTTAATTGAGCAGTAATTAACACATTTATGCCTAGCCAAGAAGTCAGTAGTTTGATTTCTCTCCTCTCCAATGTACTAAAAAAAAAAAATCAAATTTTGTGGTTAAATATGTGAGATTTTTTAAATGTAAATTTTTACAATCTCAACTCTATTATTTTTTTTCTTTTACAGACCGATGAGTTTTCTTTAAGAGGGGGAACCAATGTGGTGAGTTATATTTTTGGTTTTATTTGTTTAGTTTTAAATACTGAGTAGAGACTTTTGAGTTTAATATTCACATAATCAAATTTCGACGTGAAATAAATATTTTCRAATGGATTCTTTGATAGCTTTAGACTACATCACTTTCGCTATAAAATCCAAATCAAGAGATGTGGTACGCAATGGAACTCGATGAGGACCTCTTGGTCCCTATCATTGATGGGTTAAATGGACTAAGGCATTCCCAAAACTATACCTGAAGTCATGATACTCCGTATAGACTTAAGGTTCAAGAATTCTCCAAAAAAAAAAAAAAATAATTCATAATTCATGTGGGACACCACGTTCTTAGTGATGCTTTTCAGACTCATGGCAACTAYATCTACCAATAAAGTATGTCGTTCTAATCTTTCCCAAAAAAGTATGTCGTTCTAACCTTTTAAATTTTTATCTTAATATTAATTTAATAAGATATTRGTGTACAGCGAATACATGGTTGAACATCTGGAGCACCTAACATACGTATTGACAATATTGAGACAGAATTAGTTTAATGTGAATGGTAAATTAGGAGTGTATATTTGGCCAGAAGTCAATGGAGATAAATGAATACTTGGTATATATCATTTTAGGAGAAATTTACAYAGATACAAGCCAAGGGTGCAAGTTATGGCTGCTTGACTGTCACTCAATACAATTCACAAGTCAGTGAAATATTTTAGGCCTCACATACTATTGTTGCCAAAAGTTCATAAAGGAATACATCCAACTTGCTTGCCTAGCCTTTTGTTTATTGCCAAAAGTTCATAAAGGGATATATCGAACTCGCTTGCCTAGCCTTTTGTTTGTGATCAGAGTGTGACAGTGAGATTACATGGGATCCCATTCCCATCTCCATTGTTTCAAATATGAATAAGATTTTAATTATCAGAGTTTAATTTTGGCCCGAGGTTTTTTTTTTCTTTATAAATAACTAAGAGTCAGAGTTCTCTCCTATATACAGAGACATTTATGTCCGCCCAAGACTCTCCTATTCATATTGCAAGGAACAATACTCAAGATGAGCATAGTGTGGCATCCCCAAATAGACAGGAGAGACTAATTACACCTACATTGTTGTGCTTCAAATATGAGAAATAAAAATAATGGGAAAGGCTGGAATGACTGTGAAGGATATTGACAAATTAAAGGATGCGAGGCCCTTTGAATTCCAATTTACCTATACTAGAACAAAGAGTGCAAGCGAGAGTAATGATTAGTTAGTTATGTGGGAGTGCATTTGTAATTAGAGAATGCAAACAAGATAGAAGTTTATTCAAAGAGAAGATATATTTATATTTCGTACGTAGTAGTGATGTTGGCCTGTAATGGTGGGATTTCTATTCCTCTTCCATGTCTTTCATCCTCTCTCCTAACTCATCTATGTTCCAACAAGTTTCGGATACAATCAATATTGAAATAGATTTTAAATTGGCAGTCAAGTCATACAAGCTTACAATTAAAACTAAAAGTGTAACAATACCATAATCCAGATTTGAACCCACTAAATTGTGTCAAATCACCACATTTCATCTAATATTATCTAATATATTGCACAACGTTTACAATTTAACCTCTAGAATTTGTTTAGAAAGAGGTCCATTAACCTGCAATTATATGATAACGAATTTTTGTGAAAGACAACGACATGGTGATTGGAAGCGTGTTATACACAAAAAACGCCCCGTTGGAAATGGCATGGAAAAGGTGGTAGAAAAACAAGAAAAAGCAGTATGAACAAAAACAACAAAATAAATGGAGAGGGCCATGGGGTTAAGAAACATACGGAATGGCGTGAAAACTGTCGCGAATTTCACCATGGATCTGATCTAATCGAGGGCTCCTCTGCACACTGCTGCTCATTCTGCCAGTGCCRCGACAGTAAGCTAGGCGAGGCTGTGCGTGGGAAGTTTATTGCATTGATATCTGTTGTCCTCTAATTTGCCTTTTCTGTTTTCAACAAAATTAACGCTGAAGACCCAAGAGAGCGAGCCAGGACGCAAAAAGGAATTAAGGGAAAAATAAATAAATAAAAAATAACTCGCGAGCAAAACGATGAAACGCTGGAACGTTCAGGGGATCAAATTCAGAGTTACCAGAATGGAGGTAACTTTATAAAGGCTGGTTTGGTTGAAGTTTTTCTCTCTCTTTTTCTTGTTTTTTTTTTTAATAAAATATGCTTTTGGTCTTTTTAAGTACCAAGATAGATTTCAATTCAATCTCTAACTTTTAAAAAGTGATACTTTGGTCTTCAAATTTTTATATAAAAATATTTAATAAGGGAGAATACACCATTAATTCAAGAGAGAGAAAGCGAGATAGAGTATCAATTTTACCTTTAAATATGCAGGTCCTACATAAAAATTAAAAATATTTTTATTTAGATAATGATAGAATTCTTTTACAACATGAGAGTAGTATGGAAGTTCTCCTTTTGGGAGGACTAGAAATTTTCCTTCAAAAATGCAAATGATATGTTAGAAAAAAAAAGACAAAGCAATGAAAATATATAGAAATTTTGGAAAGATAAATAATAGTAAATATTAAGGAGATGAAACTTTTAGAAAGAGATAAATTTATGCCGGAAAAAATTTTAGAGGGAAAAAGAAATTTAGTAAAGAAAAGTATGTTAAATAAAAGAAAAGTGGGGAAAATTTTGAGATTTTGGAAAACATAAACATAAATATGTTTTTAAATTTTTWAAAAAAATTTATTTAGAATTTCAAGAACGCTTTTGATAACCATTTAAGCCCGTTTGATAATCATTTTAGTTTTTGGTTTTTGGTTTTCCTTGTTTTTAGTTTTTGGTTTTCTGTTTTTTAAAAACCAAAAATAACCATTTTTTGTTTAATTGTTTTTAAAAAACAAAAAACCAAAATAGGTTTGGTAACCCTTTTTAGTTTTTTGTTTTTAAAAAGTTAAAAAATTGAAAATACATATTAGAGAGAGAATTTTATRTAGAGTAGAGATGGTGTGGGTGCGAGTGAAGATGCTCTCCCCCATTATCGGGCTCGTGAAAATTTTTAGTCTTCGTCTCCACCTCATTCTTGGGTCCGAGAGATGKTCTCGAGAAAAATTATTAGTTTTATAATTGTTTATAATTATTTTTAGAATTCAAATATAAAAAAGTGTAATAAATATATATTAATTATTTAAAAAATGGAATCGGGGACGGGGACGGGGTCGGGACATGCATTTTCTATTTTTGCGACCCAGTGGAAATCTTTGTTTCCCCAAGAAACAGGAAAATGTACATGTAAATAAACTTCTGGAGATAAATTTTAGAGAGATAAATAAAAATATTTAGGAAAAAAATAGGTTGAGAAAAGTTAAAGACAAAAAGAGAAAAATTTTGGAGAAAAAAAAGTCGAGAGGAAAAGATATATTAAAGAAAAAAAAAGAAATTATAAAGAAAGAGAAAAATGAGAGTGAAAATAAATTTAGAAATAAAAATAAGATTCAAAATATAATTTTTATTTAAAATAAATAAAAACAAAGATAAATAAAAGTTACAGTGAAAATTGAACGAGAAAATAAAATATAATTTTTAGAAGAAAAAATAGATTACGGGGACACAGAAAAGTTATAAAACATGAAATTTTCGAAACAAAAAAGTTACGAAAAATATTAATTTTTTAGAGGGGAGAATGAAACTGATCTATTAAAAAATAAACAAATACATAAAAAATGTTGGAGAGAGACAAATAACAATAAATATTCAAAATATAAAAATTGTAAAGAGAAAAAATACMGTTTATAAAGAGAAATTTAGAAATAAAAAAAAATTTAGAGTGAAAAATAAATTTTCGAGGGATAAATATGAGAAAGAAAGAAAAAGTTGAGTATTAGAAGAAGAAATGAGATTTTGAAAAACAAGAACCTGTTTTTGAAAACTATTTTTGTTTTTTTGAAATTTACATAGAATTTCAAAAGGATTTTTGAAAAACAAAAAACAGAAAATTGAATTGGTTATCAAACGATCATGTTTTTGAAAAACTAAAATAAAAAACAAAAAACGAAATTATCAAAGGGACCTTAGGTTTTTTGTTTTTGGTTTTCCTAATTTACGTTTTTAAGAAACAAAAACCATATACGTTTTTATTTTCGAAAAATCGAAAATAAAAAAATATAATAAATCAGTAAGCTCTTAAATTTAATAATTTAACTTAGGGATGAATATGTAAAGGGAGAGAGAGAGGAAGTACAATAAATAGTGTCAATTCTTTTGATAATGATCCTATATACTCGTAAGTAACAAGTTTAATCTCGAAAAAATTTGATTCTGTGAACGTCTCTGTTTTGTTTTGAGCCCCTTGACCTTTGGTGCGACGATGTAAATTATGTGGTTGTGTTGTATTTTATGATACATATATTAAAAAAATTATTAGCAGCAAAGCAATACCCTTCATAAATAGTACTTTTTAAAAATTGACCTACTTACCCGAGGTAAGATCGGGAACAAGACGGATGAGGTGGTGCTGGTGGGTTGTGGGTGCGGCTGTTCCTCCTCCCGTTCCCGTTCCCGTTCCCGTTCCCATTCACCTCCCTCCGACCAATAATGTCTCTGCATCTTCCACTTCTCCAAGATTCCAACCAATATGCTGTCGTGAATCTGCACAGCATTCAGAGCCCCCTTTCCCTACCTTTAAATGGCGTTTGCTCATAGCTTATGACGGCACCCGATATGCAGGTATTTCCCCATGCGCACCACACCTTTATCTTCTTAGGTTATTTCATCATTCTCGTGTTTACTTCTACTTGTCTTGGTTAGCTCAAAGTTACCATTGAATTCATTATGAGTTATCTCAGATTCTCAGAGAAGCTCTCATTACTTTGCATTCATGCCCTACTTCAATTTAGAGTCCAATAGTTTTATAACCATGTCTAAATTATTTAAAATACAATTTTAGGGTGGCAATATCAGGAATCACCACCTACTATCCAGTGCCTCGTTGAAAAAGCCCTGACTCGAGCAACAAAGCTTGAAAGGAAGGATCTTCACTTAGTCGGTGCAAGTAGAACAGATAGGGGAGTTCATGCTTGGGGTCAGGTCTGATCACTGATGTGCCTTCTATGGAAATTTGGAAATCAATGCTTTTGCTTGCTTCCAGTTCCAACAAGTTGAGGTTTCAGGTGGCACACTTTATTACGCCATTTAACTACCATAGCTTGGAAAACGTTCATGCTGCTCTCAATGGTCTTCTTCCTGCGGATATAAGAGTTCGGGAGATTAGTCCTGCCATGCCTCACTTTCATGCTCGGTTTTCCACCATAAGCAAGGTTTATCACTACAAGATATATAATGACACCTTCTTGGATCCGTTTCACCGTTGCTACACTTACCATTGTGCTTATAAACTTAATTATGCAGTCATGAGAGAAGCTGCAAATTATTTCATTGGAAAGCATGATTTTTCTGCTTTTGCAAATGCAGCACATAATGATCGAGTGGGAAATCCAGTGAAAATCATTTTCCGTTTTGATGTCATAGAAATGGTGAGATTTGAAGGTTCTCTGGTTGGTAATTTTCATTTATAATGTGTCTGCTCCTTATAACCTACTCTTTTGTGTGAATCATTCCATCTTCAACTTACAAAAAGTTTGCGGTTATATGCTTAGCATGCGATTGTTTCTTTGTACAGGGAGCTCTTGTTCAGCTAGAAGTTGAGGGCTCAGGTTTTTTGTATAGACAAGTTCGGAATATGGTAATTATTACGTTTGTTGCACCTATCTAATCAGTGGAAGAACTTTCCGCAATTGTATGAAATGATTAAATTAAGTCCCTTGCCTGATTTTTTACTTAGTAAATGCTGATTCATAGTAGATATTAAGCTTCCTGGAAGCGTGGAATAAGTTTTTCCAGTAATTTTGCAGGTTGCCTTGTTGCTGCAAATTGGAAAGGAAGCAATTCCTCCTGATGTTGTTCCTAAGATTTTGGCTTCTCGAGACCGGAAGGAGCTTGCCAAGTATGCTTCGGGTGCTCCTCCTCAGGGGCTGTGTCTTATGACTATTAATTATAACGAGGACCATCTAAAGTTTCCATCTGATTGCCCTGAGACTAGTTTTGGTAGGCGTCATCATGTGAGCAAATGCAAACTTCCTTTTTATTGAATTGATGATGGACGTTTTTGGGTAGGCTAGTTGGCAAAGTCTTAAGATTTCTTGGTCGGTATGAAATTTGAACCTTCTGGTGAGTTTTTATACAAAAAAACCATAATGTCTCTCGGGTCTGGACCTTTGGGTAAGCACGGGTGCCCTTTGGATATAGGAGAGCAAATAAAATACGATGGGTCTGTTTTTCACTTTATCTAGGACCATAGTTTTCATAACAAAATGGTTACTGTTCACCGGTCAACTTTCTATTGAATTAACGGTGGGTCTATTTTTTCACTTCTGCCATGAGCATCATTTCTGTYGCTTGATATCCTAATGAAATGGATACTGTTCACTGGACTCGTATACAGTATAAAATTAGAAAGTCAAAAAACATAATTCAAATCAAATTTGAACTCAAATGAAACACATCAAAGAAAGTCATGCTTACGCTATCTTTTAAAAGTAATGAAAAGTTGTGATATTTTATCACATACATATTAAATTTATGCTTTATAGTAGATTTTTGTACTTCAAATTTTGTGCTCTTTGAACTTCTAATTTTGTATTAATTGGTCAGTAAATAAAAAAGAATGTTAAATGGATCAAACTAATGCCATTGGCAAGTATAGATTTAGTGGTTATAACCATTGAAGGGTAAAAAATAAAAGAACAACACTGAAAACTGAGTAGCTTCTTCAAATTTATTTATAATTTTCTTATATTATTTTTAAGATTTGAGTTCTATTTTGGTCCATAAACTTGAAGTATTATTCTATTTTCTAAACTTTAAGGTTAATTCTATTTGGATTCTTCATTAAAAAAAAAATTCAATTTTGATTCTAAAGTAGCGTTGAGGTTTTTTATTTTTATTTTTTTATTTACAAGGTGGGGTGGGAGATTATGCCAATTACCGTGGGTTGAGTTTCTTTTAACTGATTTTTTCGCTACAATTTTACTATATTATACCATTATGGTTAGCTTCCAATGGTTTTTTCAAATCTGTCAATTATAAAATCTATATTTTTTGACATGATAATTTTTTTTTTTAATATTTCAAAGGTAAAATGAACCCTTTTATTTAAATCAACGATTAACTTTTTTGTTATATATATATATATATATATATATATATATATATAATTCAAAATTTTTTTATTGCCCTAATTTAAAAACTAAACATTTTATTTAATATAGTTAATTTCAATTAAATATGATTTATTTTACTTATTTTTATTTTAGTAATTTATAAAAAAAATAGCATTTATATTTTTGTTACTTTGAATATTACTAATTTTAAAATTAAGTACATTCTTTTACTTTATTTTTCTACCTTATATATAAAATATATAAAGTATATTCTTTTACTTTTAATATTCTTTTAAATTATTGATAACTCTCCAAATAGAGAGTTATTTGGGTATAATGTTGGTATAAATTAGTTAAARAGAACATGACTTGCACCCTTATTCACTAAGTTCGTGCTAAAAAGATCATAAATACTAGCTTTTTACAGTGTAGTATTGTCAATTGCAATTGAGCTAATTTTGCATTTTGCTACAGCTTTGACGATGCTACAGCATCAGATCCATCAACGGGATTTACCACAGTAACTCGGAGAAATATCTGGAATTTAGAGCTGGAGCCCACTTTATCCTTTGTGTTGCCCTAATTTTTTTACAAACGACTTCACACTTGGAGCTTTGAAGAAGCACTCAAGTGCTTGAAGGAGAAAGAGAAGCTCTCAGTAGGATGGATAAGGAGGAGATTCAAGGAGGAGATTCAGTCCCCAAGAACCCAAAGGACAAAGACAAGGTAGCAAGGCCTCGAAGACCGGAATTCTTGCATCTTCTTCCCTATTCTTTTTCTCATTTTATTAAGGATGGTATAAAAGTCCCCTTTTAAGGCAGCCTCCAGGAGATATTCTTCCCCACTCCATTTTGGAATCATCCATCCCAGTTGCTCGTGGAAGAAGAATAAGAAGCCCAGAAATCTGCTGCTGAAACAGAGAACAAGAGGATCCTTCTCTTCATCTTTGAATCTCTTTGTTTTATTTTCATTCTAGTTTTTATTTGATTTTCTTGTATGACTTTTTGTAACTAATCTAATTTGTGAGAGGGAGGTTGTTGTGAACCTTTGTTACTGTTTTTAAATGATGAAGAACATTGAGTTGAAGTTGTTTTATAAATTTATTTTCAATATGCTTGATCACCATGTTGGAATACCTCCTTGTTAACTTTTGGAAAATCGTAATAGGGAGCGAAATACTTCATCTCGAACTAGAGTCTACTTGAGTTTAGCGTGTGGTGACTTAGGGATAAACATCACCTAGCTTGGTCATGAAAACTGTGCATATGTATGGTGTTATTGTTTGTCTATGAATGTTAATAGTAGAAAATCTGGAAAAATTCTATGTCTGTTTGGCAAATGCTCTGGAAAAATTCTATGTCTGTTTGGCAAATGCTGTAGCATCGTCTGTTTAAGTCCACAAGAGTCACTTAGCTGCTTCCCTCTTACTTACTTTAATATCAGTATTTTAGTTCATATTWGCGCATTTTCCTCAGACATTTTGCTGTCATATGTCTTTAATTCATTTTAACAGTAGTTCATTCGTGTATTGTTTGGGTTGATTTACTTTAGTTTTCCTATTTGTTATAAATACTTTGCTTGTTTAAAACCCCCAATCTTAAGTGATTATTGAAGTGTGTAACAATCAATCCATGTGGATACAAACTTTTTATTACTTTCTGCGATGTGTACACTTGCATAAGGGGACATAGATCGAACCCAACACTTATATATATATATATATATATATAACCAAAATAAACTACGATTTCTATTTTAAAATCACACTCTGAAAATTATATAATTTTTACAACTACCAATTATTTAAATATGGATAAAAGAGAACAATACACGTACCTTTTTCATCCCTAAATTAAGATCAAAATTTAATTATTTGATTAATTGAATTGAATCGTTTAATTTATTTTTTTATAAAGGAATTTAATTATTTAAATTTAACATTTTCAAAACTTATTTTATATCAAGACATAACTATATTGAGATAAAATTGAATTATAAATACACATAATTATAACTGAAAACAATTATATATATCTATAAATTATAAAAGAAATTTCATATTATAATTAAAAAAAATCAAGATTTATAATTGGGAGTCTAGGAAAATGTGAAATTGAAGCATTTAATTTCTCAATTGACACAATTAAATAAAAGAAATAATCAATAATAAAAGTAAGAGATGGAAAAGTAATGTAAAAATAGATAGGTARAAATAGAAATGAGCGAGTAAAGAGGAGAGAAAAGAGGTGAAAGGCGTGAGGCCCCTCCAAGAAAACGAGGAGATAGAGAGAAATAAAATAAGAAGTTAGAATAGTATTTTGAGACAATGAAATAGTAAATTTACTGTTTTATAAGTCCTCCCCAAACAAGAACTCATGCCAGAGCCAGTACTTCCGCAAACACCCTCAAATTTTTTAAATATCTATTTTTAGTTCCTACTTATAAAAAAAAATATTCATTTTGATCATTATATTTATTTTACTTTTAGATTTAAGAAGTGAATAATATGACTTGGTATGCATTAACTTATCTATAATACTATGTATTGTAGTTGTTTGTTATCTATAATACTATGTATTGTAGTTGTTTGTTATAATTATTATTTTGACAAATATGTAATAAAGTCATATTGGTTGGTTGATGTGAGTACTGAATAGGTATATACTAGGTGATAAAATAATAACAAAGGCTACCAAATATGTCACGAAAGTTTAGGAGYTAAAATAGTTCTAAAAGTTCACAAGTAAAATAGTTAGTTTTTTAAACTTTAAAAACTCAAATATAAATACTGTACTAAAAATGAAAAAAAAAGAGTCAAATATAAATTTTGCAGGATCAAAATAATTATTTCTAAAAAAAAATTCAAAGACAAGTAGAAAGCCTAAAAGTTAAAGGCTAAAATAGAACAAAAGAAAGATGAGAGTTGAACCTATTTTTAATTTGAAAATTCTTTAGAAAATATATTTTATTTTTTATTTTTCCATTTACATATTAATTTAAAAAAAATACCATACTAAATAAATTTATGAACAATAAAATAAAATAAAAAAAGATACATAAAAGCATGAAAATCCTCTTTCAAATTCCTAAAAACCATTAGAAAAAAAGCCTGCTAAAGAAGATCGGCTAAAGAAGATATGTTGAGCAGAAACTAAAAGTTCATCCTTCCTACTTGTTTTTGTTTTTTCATTTTTAATAAAGAAAAATAAATTGTACGATTTCCAACATTGGTCCCAACATCCATAAATTTTTGTAGTTATGCTGTG